AGACCCCCACTTCCCTATTCAGTACCTAAGGTCATCCCTTTAGTTCCAAATGATGTCTGAAGGTTATGCTTCCATCTGCTGCTATAAGCAGAAATCTTTTTTTTAAGAGTTTTATTGTGATATAATTCACATAACATATAATTCACCTATATAGTGTACAATTCAGTGGCTTTTTGTATATTCACAGAGCCTGGTGAACATCCCCACAGTCAATTTCAGAACATTTTCATCACCCCCAAAAGAAAACCCACTTAGCCAAAATTCCCCAATTCTATCTGCCTCCCCGACAGCCCTTGACAACAATTCATCTACTTTTTGTCTATGGATTTGCCCATTCTGAACATTTCATATAAAAAGAATTATATAATATGTAGTCTTTTGTGACTGCTTTCTTTCACTAACATTGTTCTCAAGGTTCACCCATGTTGTAGCATGGGTCAGAACTTCATTTCTCTTTGTTACCAAATAATATTTCTTTGTATAGATACACTACTTTTTATTTATCCAGTCATTCATCAGTTAATGGATATTTGCATTATTTCTACTTCTGGCTATTATGAATAATGCTAGTGCAAACATTCATGTACTAGTTTTTGTGTGGGCATGTTTTCATTTCTGTGTTATGTGGTAACTAACTCTACTAGTATGTTTAACATTTTGAGAAACTGACATACTTTTCCACCGTTGACTATACTATTTTATATTCCTACCAGCAGTGTATGAGGGTTTCAATTTCTCCAGGTCCTTGCCAACACTTGTTATTATCTCTCTTTATTATTGTCATCCTAGTGGGTGTGAAGTAGTCTCTCATTGTGGTTCTGATTTGCATTTCCCAAGTGGTTAATGATTATGAGCATCTTTTCATGGGCTTACTGTATATCTTCTTTGAGAGATGTCTATTCAGATACTTTGCCCATTTTATAATCAAGTTGTCTTTTCATTGTTCAGTTGTAATAGCTCCTGATATATTTCTTATACAAATCCCTTATCAGATATATAATTGGGAAAATTTTTCTCCCAGTCTGTGGGTTATCTTTTTACTTTCTTGATGGTATCATTTGAAGCACAAGGTTTTAATTGATGATGCCTAGTGAGCAGAAATTTTATTATCTTCCTAGTTTGTCAGCAAGAAAAAATCCAAACTTTTAATTTTATTTTTTATATATATTTTTATTGATTTCAGAGAGGAAGGGAGAGGGAGAGAGAGATAGAAACATCAATGATGAGAGAGAATCATTGATTAGCTGCCTCCTGCACACCCTTACTGGGGATCAAGCCCACAACGTGGGCATGTGCCTTGGCGGGGAATCGATCTTCCTTTCCTCAGCAATTACTTGCCCACTTCACTACATGTGGAAAGTTGGGTTGAAGGCCTTCCTATTTATAGAGATCTTATAACAATTATGGTTGATAAAGGCACAATATTAAAATAAGCACACATCTAAATAGAGGGATAAACAAAGTGGCTCTATATGTGGGAGAAGGTGCCAGAGCAGGGTAACACCACGTATGTACATCATAGCCCCTGTACCTAGGAAGTTGGTAGCTACTATATAAATGAATTAGCCAGAAAATGCAAGTTACGCAACTTACCCACCTTTCTTCTATCTAGACCTGAAAAGAGCTCACAGTGAAGGTGGAGTAGCAGAAAGGGTAAACACATAAAGATGCAAGCCCAATGTACTCAATAAAAAGCCTCATTAGTTCTCATTTCAGTTATTCACCAAGCATTTTCTATTTGTAAGACCACTGCTTATTAGACATCTCTATGTCAAGACATTTCAAATGCAAAGTGTCTAAAATTATCCTTTCACCTCATATGCAAGGTGTTTAAAGTCATCTTCCCTGCTCTCCAACCACCAGCCCTCTTGACTTGTTTCTCTTCCTGTGTTCCCTATTTGGTAAATGATGCAATCATCTACCATCTCCCCCGATCTGTAGTTATGCAGTTATATTTCTCTGCAACACAAAACATTTTCTGCAATTCATCAATGTGGTTGTTATATTTGGCTGTTTCAGAATCCCAATTCTGATTCTGTCATATAATCTACTAGCCATGCATCCCACCTTCAACAAACCAGTAAAGAGAAGGGGAACTAATATTTGAGTGCCTTCTGTGCAGAAGGTCCTGTATTAGGAACTTTGAATGGAATCTTCACACAACAACCCTGTGAGATATTATCCCAATTTTAGAGAGAGGACAATACCATTCTTTCCTAGAGATAGAAAACTAAAAGTCAAAGGAGTTAACTGACCTACCTAAGGGTAGAGAGCTGTAAGTGATGAATCCAGGATTTGAACCAGTTCCACCTAAATCGGAGGCTCGTGATAACTAATTACAGACAGAAAGCCAATTTCTTCAGCATGCAACAAGAACAAAGCTCTGTAGGCATGACTGAGAATTTTACTTCATAGCAACAGACCCTTAAATAAATATTTGGAGCTGAGGGTGTCAAACAAAAGTCATCTACCCATGTGGACACCCAAACCTCTATTTCACTATTGTCCATAGGATTTCAGTGACTTTATCAAATACACTGTTAAAATCCTGGTTATTCTTCTAGAAGTTTTGTCAACAAAAAGGAAATGAGGATTCTCGACCGAAGATGGCGGCATAGGTTAACACCAGAGATTGCTGCCTGGAACAACTAAGTCAAATTAAGCTTGATCCAGGGAAAGGACAACGTCCAGAGCCACAGGAGGGCTGGCTGAGTGGAAATTCTACAACTAGGAGTAAAGAGAATATCATATCCAGACTCAGAGGTGGCGCAGTGCTGAAGTGAAATTCTGAGGTACGAGTGCGCGCGGAGCGGGGCTGGCAGCGCGGCGCGGAGGGCGCGGTTGTGTTTACAATCAG